TGCTAGTGTTATCAATGTTCCCCGTATCTTCCCCTTATCTTATTTCTTCATCCCAAATTACTGTGATCAGTTCTAGTATGACCGTGTGTGGTGAAGTTAACTTTTATTGGCATACTGTTGTGAGTTTGGGATGGATCCTTTGTTGTGCTCTAAACATAGTTTTCCCTTTCTGGGTTTGTGGTTGACTAAGTGAAGGAAATGTTTAAGTAACACAAGTAAAATCAGCACTTTTGAGTGTCCATGATGGTTTAGACAGCATGAAACCACAAAATATTTCACGACCTAAATGGAGAATCTTTCCACACTTTCGATATACAGAGTGTCAATTTACACCATATTGAATCAAACCAGATTTTTTCATTGGCACTCATAGATGTATTTGTATAATGCCCACTCACCCGGACCACAAGTTGGATCAGCTTTAATAACATTAATTTGACAGCAGAGCTGGCCTTTTGATTTTTGTATACTTGTATAACGCAGCATTTTGTGCTCATACTGATTTAACATAATGACACTTAAAGGAGTAGTTCACTTTTTAAAAAAAAAAACTTTTGCTGATAATTTACTCACCCCATGTCATCCAAGATATCCGTGTCATTCTTTCTTCAGTCGAAAAGAAATTAATGTTTTTGATGAAAACATTCCAAGATTTTTCTCCATATAATGGACTTCAATGGGAACCAAACAGTTCAAGGTCCAAAAGACAGTTTCAGTGCAAAGTACAAACTGTTCAAAGGGCTTTAAACGATTTTAGACGATGAATAAGGGTCTTATCAAGCGAAACAATTGCTCATTAAAAAATAAAAAATAAAACAAAGTTTAAGTTTTATAAGCTCAAATGGTCGCCTTGCTCTGTTAGGGTTAGAGTTAGGGTGTGATGCACGTTCGTGACTCTCCTATTCAAAATGAACGAATCTTTTCCCAAGTCAGCTCGTTCATTGAATGAACCAAATGACACGAAAAAGATTTGTTCATTTTGATAAACGAATTCGAACAGGAGAGTCATTATTCATCGTCTGGAATCGTTTAAAGCCCTTTAAACAGTTTGCAGTTTGCACTGCAAGTGTCTTTTGGACCTTGAACCATTTGGTTCCCTTTGAAGTCCATTGAATGGAGAAAAATCCTGGAATGTTTTCATCAAAAGCCTTAATTTCTTTTCGACTGAAGAAATAATGGCATGGATATCTTGGATGACATGGGGGTGAGTAAATAATCAGCAAAAGTTTTTTTTTTTTGTTTTTTTTAAAGTGAACTCCTTTAATGGGTTATGTTTTTGCAAACAAAAGTGGACATCATATTTTTGCCATCCAGATTTAAACTACAGTCAGCAAAAAAAAAAAAAAAAAAAAAAACCTGCTCCTTTTTTTGACGCATTCTGCTTTCATTTATTCTACCTGATACACAACAGAACCTTACAATTCTTTGTACAGATCACTGCACCTCACATAGTGCAGTTAATGCTTGTCCTCAGAGATTGGAGGTCACACGATAGACGCCATTAGAAATCTTTTTGCCTCAGTTCCTTTGCAGTTTGGGACCAGTGTGCTTCAGAGGAGTAATGTTTTTTTCCCTCAGTCTACATTGCTCTGTCAGACAGCAGCTCTGCTACTGGGGAAAGTCAACTCAGCTAATGAGGGAGGGCAGCAAGCCACCCGTCCTTCAGGGTGAACTGTACAACCTCAATTAATACTTCAAACAATCCCTTCTCCATGTGGACACAGTGCTGAATGTTAGATTGATGCCAGCACCTTTCTTTTATTAGCTTGTCCATTCCTACCTACTGTTCAAACATACACATGCATGTCATGATTTGTCATTTTGAAAAAGGAACGACATTCAAATCATGTTCAAAAAGGTAATTATTTTGAATTCAGCAATTGCAGAGTTCTCTCATAGGGTTTTCAAAGTGACTGTAGTCTTATCCACATACTGTTCCTGCTGTAAAGCACTGTTTTAATGAAAGACAGTTCAATAAACTTTGTCTATTTGACCATTTCATCCTTTTTTTAAACTGGTCCTTTGAAGGAGGTATTTATGGACAGGACACACAGTCCTCTGAACCTTCTAGTGCCTTTACATGAATTGCAGTATTTTTACTACTTAAATGTAATTTTGTGTGTGTGCCCATATATATATATATATATATATATGTATGTATAATATCAAGTGTGCGCACAAGCCCTGAAAAGTGAAGATAAAATGTGTAGATCGCCCCCTCGGTGGCTGGTCCTAGTATAGGTCCTAAACCCGCCTCCCGAGATCAAGTAAACAATTAAATTACACTTCATATATAATTTTTCCAAATATGGTTTCTGTCATTTCAAGTGTTTGTTTTTAAAATGAGTTTGTTTTTAGTTAGTTATTTGATGCGGCGGTGGTGATGTCATGATTGAAATTTGTGATTGACAGGTTCTCTGAACGAAGTAGTCGCTGAACTTTTTTTCGGGATCTTCAGAGGATTGAGGAGATTGGAGCTTTAAATTTAATATCTAAATTTCTATAATTATTTTTTAAAAAGCACAGGAGTGTGATCTTGCGATTGATTCTGCAAGAGTGAGGGTGGGGCCTTGATTTCGTGGCTTTACTTCCTGCTCACTACTGCGCATGTCTGGTCCCGAAATCACTTCTGCTCAGACTCAAGTTCCAAGATGTCAGCGGCAGCGCCATTTCGGGATATTAGCGGCTTCACTTCTGAACAATGGAAGAGAGCGAAGGGGCGTCGACCATCTTTTTTTTTTTACAGTCTATGTTTGATTTATGTACATACAGACAGACAATTTCATTTTCAGTGAAATTGTCTCTCTGCCAAACATTTTTAGTCTCTCAAATAAATAAAATACATAAAAAGTATTATTTCTTATATTATTTGTTCTGAAAGAGTCAGATGAGTGACTGAAGGTGATGAAGTTCTTTATAAAAGTGTGCAGCTGTTCTGGATGTGCAGGTATAGAAGGTCACACTGATGGATTAACACCCTGCAGCTCTTTCCAGACTAACAATCCTAAAATCCTCCAATAGTTGGCAACTCACTCTGGCTGGTTTCCATCCATCTATGCCTGTCTTTTCCCATGATTCAGCAAAACTGCTTTGTTTATAAACTTACATGGTGATAGCTTAGATATGCATGTATTCTTCAGACACAAGTGTGGGATGTTGTAGCTGTGGATTGAGCAGCTGGCCTGGTAAATCAAAACCCTGCTGAAAAGCTGGTTTGCTGGTCTTGGCTGATTAAGCTGATGGTTTTATGATAGTTTTAGCTAATTTAAAAGTCTCCCAGCCTCGCCAAGTAGGTTTTTTAGGTGGGCAGCCTGTTCATTTGGATTGAGGAATGAATTTGTATTTCAGTTCTCCATGAGCTGATGAGGCAGTGTGCTAATCTCCTGGGTAGGCGTTTGATTCAAGCCGCATTAGGTTTTCACGCTTGCTTTAGCCTGCAATTTGTAATGCTTTGACCAGGATAACTCTCGTGAAAGCAATGGAAGAAAGAGCTTCAAAGCAAAAAGACTATTACGCACATTTATTTAGCAGGTACACAGGCAACGCGATCCTCTCAAATATGAGGTACACTTTCTTAGCATCACAAAATAAAGCACGAAAACAAAAATATAGCAAGAAGGTAGATCACGCTTATCCTCTTCTGTGGTTCTCATCTCACACTCACAACTCAACAACACCATAACTCATAGCGCACGTCATGAATGATGTGATCAGTCTCTTAAAGGGCACACCGCACAATAATGTGATGCATGTAAAAACAGTTTCGTTTGTTACTGATACGTTACAGACGCGATTAGCAGAAGTGAGGTAGGTACTTGTTGCTGAGTTGTTTCAAAGCAGTCTGGTGTGTATGTTTGAGAGAGTGAATTCTTTGCTTAGAGAGGAATGGATGACTGATTTGATTGTTGGTGTGAGAGCACAGCTGGGACCAGGACGCCTTCTGTGATGTCAGCCTGCTTTATTTCGGCCATTCCCTTTTTTTCCCCCCGAGAGAACGATGGCAAAGTGTGCAGTGATGGATGGCGTTGTTGCGGTCTCGGGGCTCTTTCGCTGTCTGATAAACACATACGCAAGCTAATCAAGAGTTGCAGACTACTGTATATGTGATGACACTGATTGGGAGAAATATGTCATAATTCTGTTTCATACACTTTGTTGTGTAACCAGAAGTGATGTGATAAATCAGCATTATCTCCTTCATGCATCTCAATCTCTTCCATCATATCAGTTTGTGTATCTCAGTATTTTGCTTCAAGTGATGACAAAAACGTAACTTGACACTGCAGACCTGGTGCATTGCGACTGGTTAGGACACAGTATGTTCTACTCTTTGCCACCTTATAGAGTACTTCCATTTACTACTGTATGTTTTTTTTAGGCTCACCAAGGCACATCTGTTTCGAGTAAATATAGGAATATTGTGATTTTTTTTTTTTTTTTTTTTTATCAATTTCAAATAAATGTTTTATACTTTACTATATTTTAAAAGGATTTTATCCTGTGATGGCAAAGCTGAATTCTCAGCAGCCTTTACTCCACGCTTCTGTGTCACATGATCCTTCAGAAATCATTCTTTTAATGCTGATTTGTTGCTCAGGAAATTTCTTATTATTATTAATGTTGAACACAGTTGTGCTGCTTAATGTTTTTGTGGAAACCAATCATTTTCCACCCAGGATTCTTTGATGAATAGAAAGTTCAGAAGAACCACATTTATTTGAAATAAGAATATTTTTTTGTAAGATTAGAAATGTCTTTACTCTATCTTTTGATCAATTTAATGCATCCTTGCTAAATAAGTGTTCATTTTTATTTTATTTTTGTCTTACAGGCCCCAACCTTTTGAACAGTAGTGCACTTTCAGACAGAAAATTACTTTCAGAACAATAAATTGACAAAACTCAGAAAATGCCTTGCTGTTTAAATGCGTGTCAAATCTGTTTTTTTTTTTTTTAGGTATTTTAACCCACTCTATCCTTTGTGTCCTTTCTTTTGCACAGTGAGCACGATGTGGGAGAGGACGACATATATGACTGTGTCCCCTGCGAGGATGATGGGGACGACATCTACGAGGACATCATCAAGGTGGAGGTTAGACAGCCCATGGTGAGTGAGACACCATACGGACGACCCTCATTGGTGCGTGTGTGAGAGGATATACAGTAGATGGATTGTTTCCTGTCATTTCCCATGGCTGTGCGCGTGTTCACTTGCTCTGCTTACATTTGCTGCTTTGCCTCCTTAATGCTGCAGATCAGATACATGCAGGTAAGTGTCATGCTGTACCGCACATGATTCTCTAACGATCCTTCAGTGCTCCTCTTTCCTTTCCTTTAAATGTGTGTCGGCACAAGCCGTTGAGCTTTCTACCCTCAAGAACCTGTTGAGCAGGCCCAGATTCCCTCTCACATTGACAGTTATATTGAAGTTCCAACCATTTTTATTCATCAAAGAATAGGTGGCCCAAAACTAAAAATTGTGTCATCATATATTTACCCTCAAGAGGTTTTGAAGAATAATTACACTGCTATTTTCCATTCAGTGAATGTATATGGTGACCAAGGACCAAAAAAGGTCTTGATAGCCCTTCAAATCATGGAAATACATGAAGGAGATGATGCCATTTTTGTATACTCATATACTTGCCACATGAAGACAATTGACTCCAGACTGTTGTTGTTCACATTTAAAAATTAATAAATACATAATTAGGACAGCCCAGTTTGTCAATATGTATATTTTTAAATATGTAAACAATAGAAAATGTTGGTAAACAAATGCGAACAAATCTATAATTTGTCTATAGTAATCTATAATTGGCTTCATCGCTGTCTCCTCTGCACCAATAAGCTGGTGTGTGGTGGGCGTTCATGCACAATATGGCTGATGTCACATCATCCAGGTGGATTCTGCACTAGTGGTGACTGAGGAGATTCCCCTCTTCCATATGTAAAGTGCTTTAAGTGTTGAGAAAAGCACAATATAAATATAACAAATTATTGTTAATAAATTTGGAAAGAATGCTAAAATAAAACAGGTTCTCGGTACCCAGAGAGGAGCGCCTCTCTTCCTCTGCTAGAAATGAGAAGAAGGTGAGGCTGACTCAGTATCCATCTGAGTGTGTGCTGTCTCACAGAGTGAGCTAATGTTGGGTTATTTTAAACACACGAGGGATGAAATCTCTTTTGCAGACAGAGAAAACTGCCGGGTCCCACATTTACAGAGATGCACAAACACATACTTAGACTGAGACTCACAATCTGTGTCATCAGACAGGTGCTACAACAAGGACATATTAGACTCTTAGTGGGGCAAATACAGCAACTTAAATGAGGGTGATGATAAGAAAAACATGGTGGAAAAATAGGTTCAGATACTGTTTTGTGGCTTTTCGCAAATTATATCTTCTTTAATACAATAGATACTGGAGTTTCACATTAGTCAGTGAAAGTCAGAGATATATTTCCCTTTCCCAATACTGACTGCTTTCATTGTTGCTAGGAGGCCCTTTGGAAAAAAAATCCCTTTTTTTGTCCAACTTGCTCTCTAATGAAACAATTGTTTGTGATCTTGAATTTCTCTGGATATGGGCAAGTTTTCTTTGGCTTCGTGCACCACCAGGCCCAGATGTTCAAACGTGTGTTGTGACGTTATTTCCAGCTCTGACCTCCGGCTGCTGTGCCTTCCCTGGGCGCTCCAGTGTTATCACCATTTTCTTAAGCTCGCCAACCTGCTCGCATTACACCAAGACCCAGTGATTATGCTTAATCAAATGCATCGTTCATGTTCTATTAGATCATTTTCTGTTGTTATTGTTTTTGTAAATTGACCTCATTTAATTCCTCAGTCCTAATCAAAACCACATTTATGACTTTCATACAGTTTGTGTGCGTGTGTGTGTGTGTGTGTGTGTGTGTGTCAGAGAGAAAGAGAGAGAGAGAACTTTAGGCTTTGAAGTATATTGTTTAGAATGAATGAAAGGCTAAACTCTTGCTCTTGCTTCCTTGTCAACGTTGTCCTTGAAGTTTTGTTGTGAAATACTCTGTCCACCTGTGTATTTTACTGTAATGTGCTTTGGCCATCCTGATTGTGACCTGAATTCCTTTAAAAATAAAACTTCTGTACATTGTGTTGCTGTTTAAAGGTGCTGAGCTGGCATCCTGCAGGACAATACCAACATGATTTGTGTGTCTTTTTCTTCTTTTCGTAACAGAAAATGGGCATGACAGAAGATGATAAGAGAAACTGCTGCTTGGTGGAGATTCAGGAGACTGAGGCAAAGTACTACAAGACACTGGAGGACATTGAGAAGGTGAGTGGGACAGGGTAGTGAGTCTTAAAGCTAGGGAGAGAGTGGAAATGAAGGCCTGGAACTGGGTTGCCACGGTTCTCTAAGGACAGTTAGGAAACTTAAAATAGATGGAGATAGAGGACAAAAGATGAGAACTGAGCCTTTATTTGACAAATGTGCTTCGGTGGCCTGTTGAATTAATACACAGTTTTATTGTGCATAAATCACTGATGCATGTTATCCAAAAAAAATAAAAAAATAAAATAGGGATGCATATATCTGAACCACAAGAGTTATTGGCCTATAATAGAACATTTATCGATATTGGGTGTTCAGTTGTTCATGCCCATCCCCCCCCTTTTTATATTTGGGTTGCCCTTGTAAATAATTTAATAACAGTTAAATGTAATTTTTAAAATCTCAAAATCAATATTCATTTTCACAATGTACATTTATAATGTTGTGTTGCCTAAATTCACATTTAAATAAATTGATTTGTGTTTTTTTGTTATTTTATTTATTTAGACAAAATATTTTAGAATAAATAATTTTAAAAAATATCTGCCATTTCTCAGTTATTGGTCATGTAATTTCTCAGTTATTGTCCATAATAGAATTATAATTGGATAATCGGTACGACAGATTTACTTTGTAGTCTTTTAAAGCATAAACATGCAACAACAACTTTTCTTTTTTTGACTCAAGTCAGTCACAGGGCAGAAATGCCATGCGCTGACCTTAAAGTGAGAAAACGTGTCTTAAGGCGGGCGTACGCGGTACGAATTCTGACGGTCGGAAGATCGAATGTCCAGGCACACGTTACGAGTGAGTTTATCCGAAAATCGTACGGAGGCAGTGATATACGACACGATTTTATGACCTGCTTAATTCCGAAGAAATCGCACGAAGTTCCGCGCTAAAAACTCTCTCATAACTGCATAATAGCCTACAGATGTTTTAGAATGAAATATGCCAAATACTGGCCAGTAGGAACACGGCAGATGCTGTTTAGTTAACCTTTCACAAAGTCATCATAAAAACATTAATTGAAGCAGTGTTTCTAGTAGTCCACACCATTTTCGTCTTTCTTCTGTGGATTTCCTCAGCTCCTGATTGGTCAAATTCAGATAGATCGACAAGTCGGCTCATTCAACCGCACACACCTCACGAATGCAAGCCGACAGCTCCCGAACTTTTTCGACATGCTTAAAAATTATCGGGAGGTCGAGAGGTGCTCGGCTCGGCTCGGCTCGTATCTCCCTCGCACACGATACGAGCCACGACATGAGAGCATAACCGATTTACACGCGATTTCTCCCGAGTGAAAAAAATCATCTGCAAGCTCGTAAAACAGCAAAAAATCGCACCGTGTACGCCCGCCTTTAGTAAACCAATACTGTTGACAAAAGATTGAATCTTGCCCTGGGGGTTATTGCATGCATGCATGCTTGTATGTACAAATCAAACAAACTTGAGTGTACAATGTTTATTCCTGCCCTTTTTCCAGTTACGCTGTCACACACAACAGACAGAATTTTAAGCGTGACAGTGTGCTGTTAGTAGAGATGATGAATCCGTCAAAACAGTGGGGGGTCATGCAGATTCTATCTTCCAGACATAGGCTTAGTTTGCTGATTATCGTTTGATTCATTTAATCCAAATTAAGACAAACATGTCAGTATTGCACTGAAATCTCTTTCTGCTTTGCAAATTAAACATTTGCTTTGCAAATTAAGGTTTTTTTTATGTTTGAAAAGCCTGGAACACTAGACACAGTATTTGACTGAGTTTGTCAAAGACAATTACCAAACCAAAACAAGGTGTAAGCAGTCTCATTACAAGCGTTTGATTGTATGCTTTAACGTTGAAAGAATTTTCAGATTTCGTTCTATTTTACATTTTTAGAATTATATGATCCCCCTGAAGCAAGTCTTATTGCCACAGGAGATGGAGGCCATATTTGTAAATTTAGAGGTGAGTGATCATTTACTGTACTTTTCATTTTCAGCCTAAAGTATTTTACATTTATATTTTTTAAGTTTTTTCAAAACAAAGTTTCCCAATAGTGTAAACTAATTATTTAAAATTTCATATTTTTGTAGTTCACTTGTTGAATTTACTAAATATTAGTTAGGATTTTCTGATAGAACCCAAACTCAGAACAGCCAGGGAAGCTCAAAAAGATAAATCAATAAACCAATAATCATTTAACAAGAGGACAGGGCCAAGACTACAACCTGACAGAACATCACATGGCACACAGAAACAAACAAAAGTCAGGTGCAAAAGGCACATGGCAACCAAACATGACAGAAGCCATGTGCTCAGACAAACACTCAAGACAAGACAGGAGAACATGGCAACCAAACATGACAGAAGCCGTGTGCTCAGACAAACACGACCCAGAGAACAATTCCAAAGCCCTACGCTCACACAAGGACAAAATGAACAACATGTGCATCATGATCCTGTCACTAAACTAAAAATAAGACCAACCAATGAGCTATTACCTCAAATAACACATTTGTTTGTATAAAAAAAGATTACATTTGACATTGACACGTTTACTTACTGGAGTTAGACTGAACTCTATCTCTGATAAGATGGCAATTATGATGATAACTGTGTTCATTAATTATGAGTGCAACTGATCACAGTTGATCCGTGATCCGTACGGACCAGGCCTCACGGTTAGGCACGCATGTGATTCGCGGATTAACTGCCAAGTTTAACCATCATAGGGAGAATATTTATCCTTTTGGATGTGTTTTGTCTTGCCAATTTAAATGATTTTAAACGCAGAAGAAGCGGCGAAAAATTAGGACTCGTGCAAAATCAGGTTATCTGTGCGCACAGACTCACACACTCGAAGTGCAGAGAGAGAGAGAGAGAGAGAGTTACGTTTCAGACAGCACTCCAACACCGAATTGATTCCTCTTTCACACTAAAACTTGTCTCTGACAGCAAGTGAATGATTCTGAGGGGACAAAAGTATGGCACAACAAATAGATTAACAATGCTTTGGTGGATGTTTGCAATTTTTTGTTCACACAGGACATCATCAGGGTCCATTTTGCTTTGTTGAGGGCCATTGACCTGACCATGATAAGCGGGGGCAACGGTCTGGGAAAGATCTTTCTGGACTACAAGGAGAGGTCAGTACCTTGACAGAGTGTGTGGGTTTATCACTGTCAGTTCTGTTATAACATCTCAGCACTTTGTCAACAACACCGTAAGCCTCTGTTGAGCTGAAATGACTTCAAGTGAAGGAGGCAAAGTCTTGCTCCGGGCGACCACCCCCAAAAAATCCATCACACCAACAGGGTCTGACCGCAGCAGCACAGCTTTTTTTAAAGTAAATCCTCATCAGAGCCCAAAGCTCCCAGGGCTTAGAAAGAAAATAGACCTGTCTGCTAGAGTCTACTGCATTAGAGCTGAACACTTCCTGTTTTGAGTGCTCTTTTTGTCTCTGTTGCTGCTGTATCAAAAATCAATAACCAGATAATAGAGAATGTTTTAGCTACTTCATCCACAATGGATGACAGTTACCCAGGGGATTTGGTAAAATCATAACACTATTTCATCTGTATCTACCAAAGATGGAGAATTTAGCCAGCCTTTAAACAGTCGATTCCTTTTTGCTGTATTATATTAAAACACAGGACCTTAAAGAAAGATTTTCCCAAACATGAAAATTCTGTCATTTACTCACCCTCATGTCATTCCAAACTTTAAGACTTCCTTTGTGTTGATCAGAAATGAATATAGTTTGAAGGATGCATCAACTGTTTTAGTCCATACATTAACCATTGTCCTACACTACTGCATTTTCTGTTAAAAACAGAGAATTAAAACGAATACGAACTCTATCCACACCAGCATTTTATATGTGTATAAGAATTGATCTCCGTCCACATTAAAACGACTGAAAACGCGGATCATGTGACCATTCACTAACACTGGGCAACCGCGTGCCGGTGTAAATAGGAAACGGATTGACTATTCCTCAGATTTAATGTAGAAGAAAGTAACGTTAGCTACCTCTGGAAAGATTAGAAATGTCGAAGATGGGTGGCTGACGAATCAGGGAAGGACACGTCATGACTGATGACACCCAATCATAGAGCCGAGCGTGAGCCTCTGCGTTATTGTTTTTAAAGTCCTCACTAAAACGCCCTCCGGAGATTCAAAACGCAAAACGGAGCTGCAGCATTTTTAAACTTCGTTTTTTTTTTTTCCGTTTCAGTATGGATGGGAGGTGCAAACGTACTGTAGCAAAAGGTCTCCGTTTTTAATCGAAAACGCAGTAGTGTGGACGGGGCCTAAAAGTCAATGGGTTCCAAAACAATATTGAGCTCCACAGACATTCATTGTATTGTACAACTTCAGGGTGAGTTAATGATGAATGAGTTGTCATGTTTGGGTTAACTCTCCCTTTAATACTGTACTCTGACATACACAGTGGGCAATATTAAGATGCAAATGAGCCACTCATATTCTCTCTGAAGTTTGAATGTGAGCAGCTGTACCTGGCGTACCCCAGGTCATTGGTCTGGCACTGCTGATTCAGCTCAGTAATGTGAAATATCCCTGCAGTTTCCTTTGGTTTGAGAAACATTGAGGCTTGACTAAATGACAGGCCATGTAACAGTCAGCTTATTCTAGTAATTCTACACTACATTAAACTCTATGTTATCAGGCATTATTGAGACCCTGGAAATCAGTTTCTGTATAAAAGTTGTGTTCTTGCTGTACTAAGCACAATTGCTTTTTTTTTTTTTTTTTTTAAATCCCAACTGGGACCTACTTAATAAAACCAAGTAGGTGTAACACAAAATTATGACCTCACTGCAATTAGAGTGCATGCGTCCTCCGAGATGAGAACTTTGGTTTAGTGTTCTGGTTTATTAAGCAGCCAGATGACCTTGCAGTAAGATCTTTGGAATTAATGTTCCTGGAATTCTTAGACCACAAGGGTTATACTGTTATACATACAGATTGTGAGGAAGTCAACGTTCTAGACATAATGCAGCAATTTTACACGTGACCCTAGTCAGTTCAGTAGGCACTTTTTTTTGTAATTTGAGCCTTTCAGAATCATAAAGATGATTTTAGGCTTGTATCACATATAATTTAAGTGTGATTTTAGTGTATAACTGTGGTTTAAAATGTATGTTTATTAAAAGTAAAGATAGTAAGCTCTAAACATAAATGGGTGAACGACTGAAAATCGAGGAAACCATATGAGATACTCATTACTTGCTGCTGGCTGATTAGTTTAGCATCATGTGGCAGACAGTAAGCTTCCAAAATATACTTGTATCTGAGCAAAAATTACAATTCTCATCGTCTACTCGCTCAAATGTCATTCCAATCCTGTATGACATAAAAGAACATATTGTGAAACTAAATGACCCAAAACATCTTTTGACACTTCTTCAAAATATATATGTGTTCCACAGGAAACAACAGTGTCATACAGGTTTGAAATGATAAGGGTGAGAAAATTATGAAATTGACCCTTCGCTAAGCCCCGCCCTCCCTAGTTACTGTTGCTACGCCTGTCAAGCTTTCGCGGCTGGCCCATCTATTATAGTGTGGATTCACCCGGTATCAGACATTTCAATGAGATAATTAGTAATTTTTGGCGAACAAGTGAAATATCTGAGAGAGCAAGACAAAAGGGACTACAGTATGCATTCGAGGGATATATTTACGACATTATATGCAACCGATTAGAGAATAATTTCTTAAAAATTGAAGTTAAAGCCTAACTTTATAGTCCCAGCGCAAGCAGCAGCGCCTCATACGCTGACCGTTCAAATGGGAAACACAAATTGAGGAACAGCTATGTTCATACACAGCAGGGTATGTGAAAATAATCGTAATAATTATAAATCAAACAGCTAATCAATAAATCTTGTGGAATAACACTAATACCGGGAGAGCCGTGATCGGATTGGGTTAAGTTACTTAGTAAGAGGTAGGTTAACGTTAGTAGGACGTCGATTAACAAAATGCTGAAATATATTTTAAAGTATGTCAGTGAGCCTTTGTCTTGTCTCTTTAATCGTCTTATTTTACGTTATCATTATGACCAAAGAACCGTCAATATTTCCAAGCAATAGGTGTTTTTGTTAAGCATGTCAACATTTACCAGTAGTTGTGAATGGGTCTCGCACATAGACGCTAGTTCACGCCAATCATTTCTCCCCTTGGCTTTTAGATTTTCTGGAAGGAAAACAATTCCTCTCCCCCGTCCAAACTTTTAGTATACCGGTATCAGATTTGCACAATCCATACGCACAATGCTTCAGCATGTTTCCCTCGTTCGAAAGCTTGCCAGACCTCCCGCGCATAGTTACGGTTGCTAAGACATGATTGGCCAGTGGCGGTTTTCGGGCGTGGCTTAGCGAAGGGTCAATTAACTAATTAAATTATATATATATATATATATATATATATATATATATTTATATATGTATATATATATATATTAATGTGTCGGTTTTGATCTTATGTCGACTCAAGTCTTTAGTTTGCTCTTTAAAGCACCCACTTGTTCTAATGCACATTAAAGACTTTGTTCCTTTTTATCTTCTCTGCTCTAGACATCTAATTTAACCTGCGCTTGAGTGCATCCATGGATATCTAATCTCTTATGTGGGTAAATAACTTCTCCCATTGAAAATTACCATATAGGCCAGGGGTGCCCAACCCTGCTCCTGCCGATCGACTGTCCTGCACAGTTCATCTCCAACCCTAATCAAACACATCTGCCTTTAATTTTCACGTGAACCTGAAGACCTTAATTGGTTGCTTCAGGTGTGTTTGATTAGGGTTGTAGATAAACTGTGTAGGACAGTCGATCGGCAGGAGCAGGGTTGGGCACTCCTGATATAGGCTCTTGAGAGAGGAACTGAGACTTTGTTCTGCATCAGATTCATTGAATACAGCAGCTGCAGAGGGCATTTGCATTTTCACAGGGAGAGCCTGATCTCTACATTACTGGGTTGTTTGCAATGATAATCACAGGTTCATTTTCAGTAATGACAGCATGCTGTGACGGAAACCAATCTCAAAATGTTCTGTGAGATTCAAACTTTTTTTATTAACTGCCATTACCTGCCGTTAATGGGAACAAATGCAGTCAGAATGGGTTTATATGATATTTACAGTTGTTTAAGTTGGTGACAGGGATTGATATATTTAAAAAAGCAAGTAAAATAGGGATGGAGGAGACAGCCCTATTGTTTCCATTTGTCAGTTTGCATAGGTAATTGGCCCATTAAGGCTCTTCCCCGAGCCCAGCGGGCAGCGTCACGCAGAGTTGGCGTGACAGCACCGCCTCTCTCACTCGTACTCTTTTGTTTATGTAATTCCGAGCCTGTCATCTCATTGAGCCAGTCTTCCATGGGTGCTCGCACTAACGTGCACTTTGGCACAACATAGCTGCAGTGTGGCCCCATTCTGACACGCATGACCGTCTCTCTGTGCCTTATCACTACATTTTCTTCCTTTCTGCTTGATTTCTTTCTTACTTTCTTCACCTGTTTGCATGTCTATGTAGTCCATCACCATCAATAATCTTCTCATGCTCAATTACTGTGTCAATTGTTTAAACTATCTCGGTCTCAAAATATGGTCGATACTTTGCTGGAAACATCCGTTAACAACAGCTTAATTGTAGGATTTTTTTCTCTTTCTAATAAGAAAAAAAGAAAACACATTTGCACAAGAGGGTGGGCGGCTTTTATAAAAATCTTCGCAATCTGACAGAATATATTTACATTTGGTGACATTAAGGCATTAAACAACGCTGAGTATTTTTGGCAAATTATTCATTTCATTAAAGCAGGGCTGTGTTATTTTCCTTTGACATTTTTCATCTGATTGGCATGTTTCTCTTTTTCATTATGGGATGCACGGTCCCTCTCCCTTCCGTCTCAACAATGAGAGAAATGGCCAGGGGATTTGGCCGTTGTGCGGCTGCTATCTTCCACACCTCCGTCCATTGCTCCAAAAGCCCAGCTGCCTTTAATTAATTTTGTTATCTCCTCTTGTAAGTCCATGTGACCTTTTTACGCCACTGCTTTCCATAGAATTAAATAATTGAGAAGCTTTCAGAAGTTATTGACACTGTGAAGGGCATATTGAAGAGCATCTTGCTTCGAACAGAATTGGCATGCTGCTTTTTAAGACACTGACTCCAGAGTGCAAGGCAAATCACAACTTTTAGACCACAGTAAAGGTTGTCAAACTCTGAAGCAAGAATTTTTTAGAGAGTTTTTTCCAAACTAATTTAAGTTATAGTGCTGGAATGAGCTCAGAGTTGTTGAGGAACATTATGAGTTGGTTTGCGTTGAGATTGAGCCACTTTTCACTCGGTGCAGGCTGTGTTAGAGTGAAGGTGAGGGGTCTTCAATGCCTCATGTCAGAGACTATTACTTCTCTCACTGGCCTGTCACTTCCACTTTGCTTTGCATTTTCCTCGCCAGCCCTGGTCTTTTCCAATGGACAGATGGAAGCTGGAAGGAGAGCGTCTGTACCAAATTGTATTTTCTGTGAAATAACATGCATGACATATTTGCCATAATGAGAAAGTCGGTGCAGCGGGCGATAGCACCGGAAGAGAGGTGAATTCAAAAAGCATGTGTTTACACAGCGATGGCAAAGGCTTTCACTCTAGGGAATATTCACACTTAAGCAACCCATGGCTTTTTTTTTTCTTTCCACTCTCTCTCTTTCCATCTCGGTCACATCCCACTCTCACAGTCTGAAGTGCCGAAGGAGGAAACCAGGATGAATCTGAAGAGCCTGAATAGCCTTGACTGTTTTGCCATTGCAGTTGTCAGGTTGTTGCATGTCTAAGCGTTGCTGGCATCACAAAGCCAATAAGACGGTGGCAACACAAATTGCAACATTTTCTGTTTATTTGAGCACCTTTATCTTACAACTCTGATGCCATGGGGAAGTGGAGGCCAAGTGTTTAGCACTCCAAGCTGGATCAGTCAACAGAATTATCTTCATAAAGAGTATATTCCTTGAGGTTGCACTGCTGATGTGCATTGCATCTGGTTGTTAACATGTTTCATTTCTACTCCAATTGCATTTAAACAGATAATTACTGGGTCATTAAAGAGTAATGATGTCCATTGCACACTAATGTATGTCCTAAATACAACCCTAAATGAAAGAGCATATATCTTCCTAATCAAATCTGCTCACTGAATGTGTTTGTCACACTGCACAAGATTATTTTTAGTTAATTTAGTACCATTAGATGCTTAGCACAGATGGACAAAGCATGGCCTGTTTGCTTGTATGAAAGGACATCTATTAGAGCACTGTGAATGGAGATGGTAGGGAAAAAATCCCAGCTATCCTTTTTGAAATATAATAGTACCATGATACTATTATATACTATAATAGTAATAGTAGACATGTGGCATAGCTGCCAACTTTTGAGTTTAGCTTGGTGTGATAACAGGGTGGGTTTGAGTTGTTTTTGTTTTTTTTTCTCTCGTCAAAACCGAATATGTTCATCAGTGGTTACAGTCTATATCAAGCAGGGACAATAGAGTCTCTGCAACGGCTATAGATTGAAGTGCGCACAGTGCGCGTCCGAGTGAATACTGCGTGAGCAACAAGAGAACACTGTTCAATATGTGTATGTGCAGCACATTGGACAACCTCGGTTGGGATTAATGGTGCTATATAAATAAAATTGACATTGACTGTATCTATGCGACTGACAGCAGCGGCAACAAGTGCTCAGCTTGATTTCAAAAACAAAACATTTTAGCGCTAAACTCTTATTTAAGAGTGAACTAAATTAATGCTCTGCTAGTTAACTGGAGATGTTTTATTTGTATTAGGTACATCCATGCCTCAATGATTCCAAAAGTGGTGGTTACAAAATGACTAATGACCAAACCTGGTGGGGTAATTTATTCCTGTGATGGCAAAGCAGCTTCAGCATCATTACTCCAGTCTTCAGTCACATGATTTTTCAGAAATCATTATAATATGCTGATTTGATGTTCAAGAAACATTTATTATAATTATCAGTGTTTTAAACCGTTGTGCACATTTCTTTCAGGATTTTTTGATGAATAGAAAGTTCAAAATAACAGAATTTATTTTAAATAAAATCTTTTGTAAAATCATAAATGACTTTACTGTCAATTTTGATCAATTTAATGCATCCTCACTGAATAAAAGTCCCAAAAAATTCTTACTGACCCCAAACTTTTGAATGGAAGTGTATAATGTTACAAAAGAATTGGTATTTAGACATTATTACTGTTTGGTTACAGTTTGCAGTTTGGTTACCAAAAAAAATATATTCTTTCAAAATGTATTTTATGTTCCGCAAAAGAAAGTCATACAGCTTTGAAAGTACAAACTATGCCCAAAATATGAAATTATTTTTATTTTTAAGAAATTACATTGAAAAAGAAACTTCTATATAAGAAACTAAAACTGTCAGTAGTTGGGGGTAAATGTCTAAATTAGAGGTCGACCGATTCATCGGTTTTGCTGATATATCGGTACCGATAGTTAATTGGTGAAACTATCGTTATCGGCAAAAATCCACACCGATACATTTTCCAGGTTGTGTCTGTTGCTGGAGTATCTGAGAAGTGCATGCGGTCATTACACAGCATGAGAGTGCGCAGAAGAGACTGCTGGTATTATACACAGCGAGAGCGGCCTCTAGAGGACAAATAACAAACTATCACTGGCTGAGTTGTTTACGCTAACATGTGAGGCTGCGCGCAACAGAGAGAGAACATGCAGCACAGAGAGTGCGTACACTTCAGATGCGCGTATAAAACACACACAGCGAAACCGTATGAATACAGAACACTAAAGTACATATTGCCATGTCATTATAAAGTAATTAATTTATTGACTAGACACTGCATTAGCAGAGAAATATCAGCAGTATGTTTGCTGTCGTGTCTGAGAGGAATAACATTAACGCTACCTCAAGCGATATCAACGGTTGAGCACCGTCTCTCCCTTGCAGTCCTTTTTACGAGGCACCTGAAACATTTAATCTGGAAATTGCCTTGTAAAGAAGACCTTCATGTTCAATTATGTCTGTGACATCTGTTATTACAGCTAATTCCCGACACCTGCGCCCGCATTTTCAATATGCTTTTCAGCTCATAATTGAGCGAGGCCACCATTAATCTCCATCAGTCCATTTCCATGAGGAACCAAGCCGTCTCTCTTGTTCCAGATTAGCCTTTAATCAGGTCTGCTTAGCCCAAGGGCACGGAGGCCCAGACATTGAACAGAGCAGCAGGGGAGCCCCCTTTTCAGTTCAAGACTACAGTTTCAGTTAGCTTTGCGCTCCTTAACTTAGTGGGTGGCTCACGTTAATAAAATAGGGGTGAGACTTGGAGCCTGTCCTGGATTGCAGACCATCGAGAAGGTTATACCACCTCAATAGACCACACTTAATGAACTGAATTTGAGTTGATCATCCATTTATTCATTCGACCCCATCCACATGCGTTTTGCCCTCATTAGTGGATAATCCAGTTTGGATTTATAAATGTATGCCTTGCTTTGATCAGACCACTCATCTTTCCAGCTTTCTTTTTTTTTTTTTTTTTTTTTTTTTTTTTTGGAAATTTATGGGAAAATGGAATTACAGGCAGTTTTGTTCTTCTGATCAAGGATAATTAAGCGATGATTATATCTTGTAGAGTGAAACTGGCTTAACCAAGACCACAATTAGGAGTCAGGCAACCCAAGAGTATCTAAGAGTTTGAGCTTGCCAACTGTGCCAGTGTGTGTCCTACTTAATTCAGAGGCAGAAATCTGTGCCACACGTGGTGCCATCATCAAGGCTAGATTACTTTGAGCTGCTTCCAGAATGTGTTGATCGCTATCAGGAGTCGATTGTGCAATCTAATAAACGTGTCTTGATCTTCTCAGTGGCCCAAATTAACTTGTACACAATCCAGAATCCATCAAAATGGTTCACTCAGATTCATTTGATAAAGACACTGCGCAAAAGATTTAGCTTCATTATGAAATCATGTAACACTGACTATATGGTTATCACTTGTAGCATAGACTTTGTTTCTTTTTAATGGGTTCAAATATTTAAGGAAAAATTTAAATTAACCCAAAGATGAATAAAAATTCTGTCATCATTCTGACACGGTGACAGATTGGTGTTCAAAACCCAATTAATTTATTTATGCACAAATCATCTGTGTTTTCCCCATATAATGTAACTCTATTATTAATATTTTGAGACTGATATTAAGGCTCTTTCTAAATTCCAAGACTGCATAGAATGAATGGACATGCATTCTCATGTTGACCGGTCATGCCAGGCTACCTTGAAAGAACGTACTCTGAAGGACACAGAACTCATCCTTGTGAGAATTGAGATGTGTTGTGATCGTGTTGCTCAACTTAGCGTTCAGCGCAAATAATGCAGTTGGACAGCACCATCTAACAGCATAACCTATTCAAATATTGAATTACATGATTGTTTTTATTTTATTTATTTTATTTCACATGAGTATTTGTGTAAATTAATATGTATAATTGTTACTCTGTCAATGTTAAGATTCTTTTAAATATGCCAAATAAAAAGTATGACAGGCTTTCTCCAGGTATTAGAACTTTATTAAAATTATACCTAATAAAACGACAAATGTATACTTTCACGAGCCGTCACGTGCAAGCTTTCAGCAGGAATCTCATAAGTGAGAACAAGAAAAGTTTAAAGCTTACAAGCTACCGTACGTTGTCCGCCCTCAATGATTTTTGAGATTTGTAAGGGTTTTATTCTCTCAAGTCTGCACTCAATGTATCCTATCAAGAACACACCCGGGGTACTTTCATGCATCCTCTGTACTTGGGTTTTTGAGTATTGGAACTGGTTTTGGACGTTTGATGATGTAGTACGCAAACACAAGGGCTTAAGAAAGCATTTTGAGAAAAGGCTTGAATGTCATCGCAGGGTTATGGCATCAGTCTGTTGATCTTTCTTTTGTAGACTGCTCATCTACGGCCAGTACTGTAGCCATATGGAGAATGCCCAGAAGACACTGGATGAGCTAATTGCCACACGGGAAGATGTCAAGTGTAAAGTGGAGGTAGGCTCTTACTATAA